TGGGGTGGGTGGGTGAGTGGGGTGGGTGGGTGAGTGGGGGTGGGTGGGTGAGTGGGGGTGGGTGGGTGAGTGGGGGTGGGTGGGTGAGTGGGGGTGGGTGGGTGAGTGGGGGGTGGGTGAGTGGGGGGTGGGTGAGTGGGGGGTGGGTGAGTGAGTGGGGGTGGGTGAGTGAGTGGGGGTGGGTGAGTGAGTGGGGGTGGGTGAGTGAGTGGGGGTGGGTGAGTGAGTGGGGGTGGGTGAGTGAGTGGGGGTGGGTGAGTGAGTGGGGGTGGGTGAGTGAGTGGGGGTGGGTGAGTGGGGGTGGGTGAGTGGGGGTGAGTGGGGGTGGGTGGGTGGCTGGGGGTGGGTGAGTGGTGAGTGGGGGTGGGTGAGTGGTGAGTGGGGGTGGGTGAGTGGTGAGTGGGGGTGGGTGAGTGGGGGGTGATTTATGATCCTGTTGATGTTTGTGTGGTAGCGGTGAGCGCTGCGCTACGAACCCAGCAAACGTCCCGAGTTCGATTCCCACTCGCGGCCACCACCAACGCCAGTTCCGGTATTCTGAACTAGGTCGACTCAGCCTCGAATGAGTACCCCGCGTGAAAAAAAAACATCGCCACTGGGGAGACAAAGGCGGACGAGCGTGGTGCTGGCCACCCACCCCCTCGTGTGCCGTGCCGGCCTTCATAGGTGCTACTCGCTAACAGCACTTGCCCCTACAGTCTGTTAGAGGCTACACGGGGGATATTTGGCTTTGATGGTGGTGACGATGATGTCCGTGATGATTATAATTGGATTTCAATGTGGTGGTGATGATGATGGTGGTATTGATGGTGATGATGATGGTAGTGTGGGTGGTGGTAATGGTTAATGACGGTGGTGATGATGATGATGGTGTTAATGATGATGATAGTTTGGGTGATGGTAATGGTTAATGATGATTGTAATGATGATGATGCTGGTGGTGACGTTAAGGACGAATGTGATGGTGGTGATTGATGACGGAGATGATGGTGACCATACAACACTGACCTTAGAGCTATGCCTAATATTCTCACCTTGATATCTCAACATCTTCACACCAGACACACAAAGACAAAGGTCCCCCGTATAGCCTCAAGAGATTGCCGGGGCAAGTGCTGTTAGCGAGTAGCAGCACCTATGAAGTAGACAAAGATCCCCCGTGTAGCCTCTAACAGACTGATGGAGCAAGTGTTGTTAGCGAGCACCTATGAAGGCCGGCACGGCACACGAGGGGGTGGGTGGCCAGCACCACGCCCGGCCGCCTTTGTCTCTCCAGCGGCGATGTTTACTACACACCGCACCAGGTACTCATCTCAGGCTGAGTCGACCTAGGGGAGGCCCAGCGCCGGTACAGATAATCGCCACTGGGTGTTGGTAGTGGCCGTGAGCGGGAATCGAACTCGGGTCGCCGGGTTCGAAGCGCAGCGTGGCGCTGATTGCTGCCACTACCGCTGGCTACAACCAGACACACACGCAGACACGAAAACTAAAATCTTTCTTTTTTATTTTACCAGCTAAGGCCCTCTGAGCTTGTGTAGCTCTTTGTCAGAAGCGACCCTGGGCCATCGCAAATGATAGCCACAACGAAGTGGGCTTATCATCATGATGATCATCATCATGATGATCATCATCATGATGATCATCATCATGATGATCATCATGATGATCATCATGATCATCATCATGATCATGATCATCACGTGGAAATGTACAGCAGCGGCCAAGGAACTCCAAACGCGTAGTGACGTTGATTATTCTCAATGTGGAGGGGAAGACCGGGAGGACCCGGAGACAAATCCACGCGACCACGGGGAGAGAGAGAGACGCAGACTCAGCCTCTAATGAGTACCTGGCACTTCGAGGGGGAGGAGGGGAGGGGTGGAGGGGAGACAAAGGCGGCCGGGGCGTGGTGCTGGTCACCACCCACCCCTCTCTCGTGTGCCGACAGTGTCGGCCTTCATTTAGTGCTCGCCACTCGCGAGTACTTGCCTCCAAACGTCTGTGTGTGTGTGTGTGGTGTGTGTGTTATATATGAGTGTGAGTGTTATATATGACTACGTTATGCAGGGTGCTTGTGCCAGGCTAGGTGCACTTTGAGGCTGCTGTCACGTGAACTTGTGGAAGGCTCGCTGCTGGTAGGAGGTGACGGGACAGAGACCCACGTGTCATGGGTCGAGTGCTGTGCCAGGCTAGGTGCAGGAGGAGGTCACGGGACAGAGACGCAGGTGTTATGGGTCGACTGCTGTGCCAGGCTAGGTGCAGGAGGAGGTCACGGGACAAAGACGCAGGTGTTATGGGTCGACTGCTGTGCCAGGCTAGGTGCAGGAAGAGGTCACGGGACAGATACCCAGGTGTTATGGGTCGACTGCTGTGCAAGGCTAGGTGCAGGAGGAGGTCACGGGATAGAGACCCACGTGCTTGGTGATGCTTTGAGGAGCGGTGGTGCAGCGGTTAGCGCTACGCTGCACTACGAACCCTGCCACCCGAGTTCGATTCCCGCTCATGGCCACACCTGGGCCTCCTCCAAGTCGACTCAGCCTCAAATGTTTACCTGTGCGGTGTGTCAAACGTCACCACTGGGGGAGACAAAGACGACCGGGCGTGGTGATCGCCACACCATCCCCTCGCGTGCCGTTCCGGCCTTCAATAGGCGCTGCTGCTGCTGCTGCTCGCTAACAGCACTTGCCCCGACAGTCTGTTAGAGGCTACACGGGGGATCTTTGGCTTTGTCTCCTTCATAGGCACTGCTGCTACTCGCTACTAACAGCACTTGCCCCAATAGTTCGTTAGAGGCTACACGGGGGATCTTTGTCTTTATCTCCTTCATAGGTGCTGCTCGCTAACAGCACTTGCCCCGACAGTCTGTTAGAGGCTACACGGGGGATCTTTGGCTTTGGTTGATGCTTGAACAACAAACAAAAGAGGCGGAATATTTTTTTCATTTATTCTCCCCCCCCCCCACCCCGTCCGTGTCAAGTGTTGCTGCTCGCTGCTGCAGTGCGGTGTTTCCCCCCACCAACACCACCAATCACACACCCAGCACCACAAACCCACCCACCACCATACACCCACCACCACCCACCCACCCACCACTACACACCCACCACCACCCACCCACACACCACACACACACCCATCACCCACCACACACACACCACACACACACACACCACATACACACCCACCACCCACCCACCACCACCACCACCAGCTCTCTCCTCTCCCTCCCGGATGTGCCCCCCCCCCCACCGGGCACCGTGAGTGGCTCTCAACGAGGACGGACTCGGACGGTGCCACCGCACGGGGCCCGTGGCGCGGTGGTCGGGTCCACCACCCCCCACCCCACCCACCCCCCACCCCCCACTCCCCCCACCCACCCCACCCCACCCACCCCTCCAGGCCCCCGCACTCGCTTAGTCCGGCACTGATCTTCAACTTTTTAGAAGTTCATCAAATGCCAGCGGAGTTGACCCAAGCCACGCCGCCGTGAACGTGCCGGGGAGAAAAACGAGGCCAAGCAGAGGACGTTGAATCAACAATTGGTGTCAGCCGTGGAGAGAATAGATTGTTTAACACAGAGACAAAGACCCCCCGTGTAGCCTCAACAGACTGTCGGGGCAAGTGCTGTTAGCGAGTAGCAGCAGCGCCTATGAAGGAGACAAAGACAAAGCTCCCCCGTGTAGCCTCAACAGACTGTCGGGGCAAGTGCTGTTAGCGAGTAGCAGCAGCAGCACCTATGAAGGAGACAAAGACAAAGCTCCCCCGTGTAGCCTCTAACAGACTGTCGGGGCAAGTGCTGTTAGCGAGTAGCAGCAGCGCCTATGAAGGAGACAAAGACAAAGATCCCCCGTGTAGCCTCTAACAGACTGTCGGGGCAAGCGCTGTGAGCGAGTAGCAGCAGCGCCTATGAAGGAGACAAAGACAAAGACCCCCCGTGTAGCCTCTAACAGACTGTCGGGGCAAGTGCTGTGAGCGAGTAGCAGCAGCGCCTATGAAGGAGACAAAGACAAAGATCCCCCGTGTAGCCTCTAACAGACTGCTGGGGCAAGTGCTGTTGCAGGCTACACGGGGGATCTTTGTCTACTTCATAGGTGCTGCTGCTCCTCGCTAACAGCACTTGCCGCAAAAGTCTGGCAAGGCCATACGGGGGTGGGTTTCTTTGTCTTCTGCGAGACGTCGCGTTCACAGCAAATTCATGAACAACAATCAACGGCGCTGTTTGTCCAACGGTTCAGACCCCCTCTCTCTGAATGCCCTCTCCCACACAATGGGCTCAGGACGTCTGATGGCGTTTCTGCTCAGGCTTGTTCTGAAGCTTTTAATCCCTGTGGTTCTCGTCAATCATCGAAGGCACGAAGTGAGCGCGGGCCCAACGTGTCAGTGACGACTTTGCTTCGTGCCCATCAAAGCCCTCTCGTAGACATGAACATTGTTTACGTGCTTTGTTAACGGTTGAGAACCGGAGGATGGCGGTGTGGGGGTGTGTGCAAGGCTGCAGCAATGATGATAAGAAGCACACTGCTCTGTAGACACCGCCCGCTGCCACCGTCTCAATCTGAATGAGACCCTGAGACCCTTCACACGCGATGGGGTCAAGACGCTTGATCGCATGTTGTTCTCGGACGTTTCATTTTTGTAGTTCGTGGTGCGCACCACCGATTAGCAATTAGCAACGTGCGGTGCGAAATAAGTTTTTTTTCAGCACGCGACACCGCCGCCATTGCAACGTGCCTTGGAAGTTACCCCCCCGGCGACCTGCCAAGTTGCAATATTGTGTTTCCGCGATCGGCCTGCAACTTCCCCGGAACCTGCCGGGGACTCGTCGACGTGACAGCGGCGGCGGCTGGCGGCGAGGGGAGGCGAGGCGAGGGAGTTCGCGAACTCCCTCGCCTCGCCTCGCGACCGTGAGGACGCCGCCGCCGCCGCCTGCCTGCCTGCCTGCCACTACTGCTGTGGGTGAGGGTTCGTGGGTCATCAGCGGCCGTTGTGTACCTGTGCAGGTGAGCGAGGCGAGTCGGTGATCGCGCCCACAAACAGCCACCACCACCACCAGACCGACCGACCGACCGACCGACCGCCATGAGCTGCTACGGGTTCCTCCGCGGGATGATGGTGTTCTTCAACGTGATCGTGTTCGTAAGTGCGCGGTCGCCGCAACAACAACAACAACAACAAACCCCCCCCCCCCCCCGCCCCCGCCGCTGACACCGCCGTCCCCCTACCCCCCCAGCGCTCGCAAATCGAACCGCTTGGAACACCGCGCCGATCTCTACCCACGGAGCACTTAAAGCCACCGCCGCCGCCGTCGTCGCGTGAAGAACTCCAGTTCAGACGTTTCGCGCTCGCACCCCCCCCCACCCCCTTTTCCCCGTCAGCTCGGCGGATGCCTCCTGCTGGGAGCCGGCGTCTGGATCAAGGTTGATGGAAGTTCGTTCACTCGCATCCTGGGGCCCGACCTGGCCGTCCATTTCGTGAACGTCGGCTACTTCTGCATCGCGGCCGGCGGGCTGCTCATCATCTTCGGCGTCCTGGGATGCTTTGCCGCCTGGAAGGAGAGCAAGTGCTTGCTCATGACGGTCAGCTGGGGCGCCCACGGTGGTGGGGGGGGGGGGTGGGGGGAGTTGAGGTCAGCTGGGGCGCCCACGGTGGTGGGGGGTGGTGGGGGGTGGTGGGGGGAGTTGACTGCCTCGCCTCGGTACGCAGGAGGTCGTGGGTTCGATCCTGACCCTGACGATGCCTGCTGCTACTGCTGTAGATTTGGAGTTTGCGTGTCTCTCTCTGTCATCATCATCACGGTGGCTAGGAGATGTTAACTACCTTGCTGACCGCGATGTTGACCACGATGTTGACCACGATGTTGACGACGATGTCGACCGCGATGTTGACGACGATGTTGATGACGATGTTGACGACGATGTCGACCGCGATGTCAACCGCGATGTTGACGACGATGTCGACCACGATGTTGACGACGATATTGACGGCGATGTTGACGACGATGTCGACCACGATGTTGACGACGATGTTGACGGCGATGTTGACGACGATGTCGACCGCGATGTTGACGACGATGTTGACGACGATGTCGACCGCGATGTTCACGACGATGTCGACCACGATGTTGACGACGATGTTGACGACGATGTTGACGACGATGTTGACGACGATGTCGACCGCGATGTTGACGACGATGTTGACGACGATGTTGACGACGATGTTGACGGCGATGTTGACGACGATGTTGACGACGATGTCGACCGCGATGTCGACCACGATGTTGACGACGATGTTGACGGCGATGTTGACGGCGATGTTGACCGCGATGTTGACGACGATGTTGACGACGATGTTGACGACGATGTTGACGACGATGTTGACGACGATGTTGACGACGATGTTGACCACGATGTCGACCACGATGTTTACGACGATGTTTACGACGATGTTGACGACGATGTTGACGACGATGTTGACGACGATGTCGACCGCGATGTTGACGACGATGTTGACGGCGATGTTGACCGCGATGTTGACGACGATGTTGACCGCGATGTTGACGACGATGTTGACGACGATGTTGACCGCGATGTTGACCGCGATGTTTATGACGATGTTGACGACGATGTTGACGACGATGTTGACGACGATGTTGACGACGATGTTGACGACGATGTTGACGACGATGTTGACGACGATGTTGACCGCGATGTTGACGACGATGTTGACCGCGATGTTGACGACGATGTTGACCGCGATGTTTATGACGATGTTTATGACGATGTTGACCGCGATGTTGACGACGATGTCGACCGCGATGTTGACGATTTTTCCGGTGATGTCGCGTGCAGTTCTTCATCATCGTGCTCATCATCTTCATCGCCGAGGTGGCTGCCGGGATTTCGGCTCTGCTCTACGGCTCCCTGGTTCGAAATTTTTTGCCGTTATTACCTGCTCTGCTGTTGCCCTGGTTACCTGCTCTGCTGTTGCCGTGGTTACCTGCTCTGCTGTTGCCGTGGTTACCTGCTCTGCTGTTGCCGTGGTTACCTGCTCTGCTGTTGCCGTTGTTACCTGCTCTGCTGTTGCCGTGGTTACCTGCTCTGCTGTTGCCGTGGTTACCTGCTCTTCTGTTGCCGTGGTTACCTGCTCTGCTGTTGCCGTGGTTACCTGCTCTTCTGTTGCTGTGGTCACCTGCTCTTCTGTTGCCGTGGTTACCTGCTCTTCTGTTGCCGTTGTTACCTGCTCTTCTGTTACCGTGGTTACCTGCTCTTCTGTTGCTGTGGTTACCTGCTCTGCTGTTGCCGTTGTTACCTGCTCTGCTGTTGCCGTTGTTACCTGCTCTTCTATTGCCGTGGTTACCTGCTCTTCTATTGCCGTGGTTACCTGCTCTTCTATTGCCGTGGTTACCTGCTCTGCTGTGGCCGTTACCTGCTCTGCTGTTGCCATGGTTACCTGCTCTGCTGTGGCCGTTGTTATCTGCTCTGCTGTTGCCGTGGTTACCTGCTCTTCAGCAACCGACCGCGTTCGCATGCTTCATACCGTGGCACGACGCAGCGCGCAGTGGCGATGGCGACAAAATTAACTGCGTGGCCGCTTGAAACATTTAAAATAGATTGGAACCCCTGGTAACGAGCACCACTGTTAACGAGAAATCGCTTAACGACGGGCCTCTATAGAGCCCAGGGTGTAGTGTAGTGTAGTGCCTCCATAGAGCCCAATATTTTGATTTAAAGCTTTCGTGACTGCAGTGATTCATATTCTTGGTTCTCTCGGTAAAGTCACGTTGCAAGCCATCTGGCTACCATGAGAGATTCGTTCATGAGGCTATCCACATATACAAACACAGAGACAATTTCAACCGAGAAGATGGATTCTGGCTTAGCAATCATTGTAAGGATTGGATAAACTATTTCAGGTCTTAATTGATTGTTCACGCTTACGGTGGCTTTCAGACAGCATACATTAATTTTTCGTCTCCCCCCTCCTCTTTTCCGAACATAGATGGACTCGTCCATCTAAACAAACTGTCAAATCGCTCTCCGTGGCGCTAACGCTTAAAAATAAATAAATAATACAGACCGCCACTTCTTTCGAATGCTTCTTGCCGTTGGTTTTCACACCTGATGATGACTGTTTGTGTTACAGTCGAAACGTCGTGAGAATTTTATTGTTTTATATATATTTTATTGTTTCCCTTCAACGTGACTTTACCGAAAGAACCAAGAATATAGAGCCCAATATGTTCGCTTACCGACCATTCTCCTGTTAGCGAAGGGCCGTTGTAGGTCCAGGAAACATGAATGATTTAATCGGTTAACCGCTTGTTCGAACATGAAGCGTTTATAATTAGTATCTTCATGTATTCATATCCATTGCTTAAACCATTATAAAGTAAGTTTTTTTAGTTTTTTTTGTTTCGGGTGAAAGAGTGGGGTTAACTTTCGACGCCGGCAGAACGAGAACTCGGCCTTCGACCGCTCATTCCCTGCACTCGCTTGACGGGGCGGTGCCCGTGGCACCGATCGCCTTCGTCAGGAGGGTCGGTGGCTTCTACCGTGGGCGGTGCGGTTCGTGCACGGGGGGCTGTAGACCCGTGAGCAGCCTTCGGTGGTGATAACAAAAAATAAAACGCGCCACGGTGGCTCTCCCGCGCTCCGGTGCGGGGGCGAGGGGGTGTCTCTCGAGCGTCGAACTGGGGTCCGGGGCGGACGCGCGGCGGTCGGATGAGCGACGGGCGGAGGGCTAACCCTGGCGTGGCGCGGCTCGGGGCGGGTGCAGGTGGCGAGCCTGCTGCAAGGGCAGGCCATGAAGAGCATCAAGGAAGATTATGGGCAGACGGGTTCCAAGCAGGTCATCACCGACGCGTGGAACGCCATCATGCAGGAGGTGTGTGTCTGTGTGTGTGTCTGTCTGGGTGTCTGGGTGTCTGTGTGTGTGTGTCTGGGTGTTTGTGTGTCTGGGTGTGTGTCTGGGTGTGTGTGTGTCTCTCTGTGTGTCTGGGTGTGTGTGTGTGTTTGTGGGGAGCGGTAGTGTAGCGGTTAGCGCGCTGCGCTATGAACCTGGCGACCTGGGTTCGATTCCCGCTCACGGCCAACACCAGTGACGATTATCTGAACCGGTCCCGGGCCTCCCCTAGGTCGACTCAGCCTCAAATGAGTACCTGGTGCGGTGTGTAAACATCGCCACTAGGGAGACAAAGGCGGTCGGGCGTGGTGCTGGCCACCCACCCCCTCGTGTACCGTTCTGGCCTTCATAGGTGCTCGCTAACAGCACTTGCCCCTACAGTCTGTTACAGGCTATATGGGGGATCTTTGTCTTTATCTTTGTGTCTCTCTCTCTGTGTCTGGGTGTGTGTGTGTGTCTCTCTGTGTCTGGGTGTGTGTGTGTCTCTCTGTGTGTCTGGGTGTGTGTGTGTCTCTCTGTGTGTCTGGGTGTGTGTGTGTGTCTCTCTGTGTGTCTGGGTGTGTGTGTGTCTGGGTGTTTGTGTGTCTGGGTGTGTGTCTGGGTGTGTGTGTGTCTCTCTGTGTGTCTGGGTGTGTGTGTGTCTCTCTGTGTGTCTGGGTGTGTGTGTGTCTCTCTGTGTGTCTGGGTGTGTGTGTGTCTCTCTGTGTGTCTGTGTGTGTGTCTCTCTGTGTGTATGGGTGTGTGTCTCTCTGTGTGTCTGGGTGTGTGTGTGTGTCTCTCTGTGTGTCTGGGTGTGTGTGTGTCTGTGTGTCTGGGTGTGTGTGTGTGTCTCTCTGTGTGTCTGGGTGTGTGTGTGTCTGTGTGTGCGTCTGTGTGTGCGTCTCTCTGTGTGTCTGGGTCTGTGTGTGCGTCTCTCTGTGTGTCTGGGTGTGTGTGTGTGTGTGTCTCTCTGTGTGTCTGGGTGTGTGTGTGTGTGTGTCTCTCTGTGTGTCTGGGTGTGTGTGTGTGTCTCTCTGTGTGTCTGGGTGTGTGTGTGTCTGTGTTTCTCTGTGTGTCTGGGTGTGTCTCTCTCTGTGTGTCTGGGTGTGTGTGTGTGTGTGTCTGTGTGTCTGGGTGTGTGTGTGTGTGTCTCTCTCTGTGTGTCTGGGTGTGTGTGTGTGTGTCTCTCTCTGTGTGTCTGGGTGTGTGTGTGTGTCTCTCTGTGTGTCTGGGTGTGTGTGTGTGTCTCTCTGTGTGTCTGGGTGTGTGTGTGTGTCTCTCTGTGTGTCTGGGTGTGTGTGTGTGTGTGTGTCTCTCTGTGTGTCTGGGTGTGTGTGTGTGTGTCTCTCTGTGTGTCTGGGTGTGTGTGTGTGTGTCTCTCTGTGTGTCTGGGTGTGTGTGTGTGTGTCTCTCTGTGTGTCTGGGTGTGTGTGTGTGTGTCTCTCTGTGTGTCTGGGTGTGTGTGTGTGTGTCTCTCTGTGTGTCTGGGTGTGTGTGTGTGTGTCTCTCTGTGTGTCTGGGTGTGTGTGTGTGTCTCTCTGTGTGTCTGGGTGTGTGTGTGTGTGTCTCTCTGTGTGTCTGGGTGTGTGTGTGTGTGTCTCTCTGTGTGTCTGGGTGTGTGTGTGTGTGTCTCTCTGTGTGTCTGGGTGTGTGTGTGTGTGTCTCTCTGTGTGTCTGGGTGTGTGTGTCTCTCTGTGTGTCTCTCTGTGTGTCTGGGTGTGTGTGTCTCTCTGTGTGTCTCTCTGTGTGTCTGGGTGTGTGTGTCTCTCTGTGTGTCTGGGTGTGTGTGTGTCTCTCTGTGTGTCTGGGTGTGTGTGTGTGTGTGTCTCTCTGTGTGTCTGTGTGTGTGTGTGTCTCTCTGTGTGTCTGGGTGTGTGTGTGTGTCTCTCTGTGTGTCTGGGTGTGTGTCTCTCTGTGTGTCTGGGTGTGTGTGTGTCTCTCTGTGTGTCTGGGTGTGTGTGTGTCTCTCTGTGTGTCTGGGTGTGTGTGTGTGTCTCTCTGTGTGTCTGGGTGTGTGTGTCTCTCTGTGTGTCTGGGTGTGTGTGTGTGTGTGTCTCTCTGTGTGTCTGGGTGTGTGTGTGTGTGTCTCTCTGTGTGTCTGGGTGTGTGTGTGTGTGTGTCTCTCTGTGTGTCTGGGTGTGTGTGTGTGTGTCTCTCTGTGTGTCTGGGTGTGTGTGTGTCTCTCTGTGTGTCTGGGTGTGTGTGTGTGTGTCTCTCTGTGTGTCTGGGTGTGTGTGTGTGTGTCTCTCTGTGTGTCTGGGTGTGTGTGTGTGTGTGTCTCTCTGTGTGTCTGGGTGTGTGTGTGTGTGTCTCTCTGTGTGTCTGGGTGTGTGTGTGTGTGTGTCTCTCTGTGTGTCTGGGTGTGTGTGTGTGTGTGTCTCTCTCTGTGTGTCTGGGTGTGTGTGTGTGTGTCTCTCTCTGTGTGTCTGGGTGTGTGTGTGTGTGTGTGTCTCTCTGTGTGTCTGTGTCTGTGTGTGTGTGTGTCTCTCTGTGTGTCTGTGTCTGTGTGTGTGTCTCTCTGTGTGTCTGGGTGTGTTTGTGTGTCTCTCTGTGTGTCTGGGTGTGTGTGTCTGTGTTTGTGTGTGGAGAGTGGTAGTGTAGCGGTTAGCGCCACGCTGCGCTACGAACCCGGTGACCCGGGTTTGATTCCCGCTCACGGCCAACACCAGCAGTGACGATTATCTAAACCGGTTCTGGGCCTCCTCTAGGTCGACTCAGCTTCAAATGACTAACCTGGTGCGGTGTGTAGTAAACCTCGCCACTGGGGAGACAAAAATGCGGTCAGGCGTGGTTGCTGGCCACCCACCCCCTCGTGTGCCATGCCCGCCTTTAGAGGTGCTGCTATTCGCTAACAGCACTTGCCCTAACAGTCTGTTAGAGGCTACACGGGGGATCTTTGTCTTTTGTCTGGGGTGCGCGGCTCGCTGCCTCTGTCCAGTCTTCTCAAGTCCGTCAACCCCACGGCACCACCTGGGTCTGTCCCGTGACCTCCTCCTGCAAGTGGGCAAGCCTTCGACACTTTCACGTGATAGCCTCAAAGTGCACCTAGCCTGGCACGAGCGCTGTGGTGACGTCACCGCCACTTACTGGCAAACGGCAGCTGCTGCTTGCTACTGCTGTTGTTCTTGTCATTGTCTCTGCGATTTATGAAAGTGTATCCATAATTATGCTTGTACGCATCACTTGCCTACACGATGCGTAACATTAACGATTTCAACTCAAACGAAGACCCCCAATTAGCCGTGTAGATTTTCAGAAGCGACACTGGCTATCACAAACGACAGCTCAACGCAGTGGCATCATCACGTGTCATCATCACGTGTACATGTAGAGCAGCAGCAGGCAAATACTCTTAAGACAAGTTGATCCTCAATGTGGAGGGGAAAAACCGGAGGACCCTGGAGAAAAATCCACGCGACCACGGGGAGACATGCAAACTCCAAATATACAGCAGCAGCAGGCGTCAGGGTTGGGATCGAACCCACGACTTCCTGTATACCAGGCGAGGGAGTTAACATCTCACCACCATATATAAGGATAAAGATCCCCTGTATAGCCTTTAACAGACTGTAGGGGCAAGTGCTGTTAGCGAGCACCCATGATGGCCGGAACGGTACACGAGGGGGTGGGTGGCCAGCACCACGCCCCGCCTCCTTTGTCTCCCCAGTGGCGCGCTAACCACTACCCTACCGCTCCCCACACGCATGGTACACACACACACGCGCGCGTGCTAATAGCTTAATTTCATCGCCTCTTGTCTCAGTTTAACACGTAGGCTTTCGCGACCAATATCATCCATGGGAGGTTTTGTTTCTTCCTTCGCCAGTTCCAATGCTGCGGCTTCACCAACTACACGGACTTCGATGGTTCGTACTTCCAAAGCCATGGGAACAGTTTGTACCCGAAACAATGCTGCTCCTCCAAACCCACCTCGTCACCGACCTCTACCGCCGCCTCTACCATCTTCTCCACCGCCTCCAATTCCACCTCCGTCAACGCGACCTCCTCCTCCCCCACCTCCTCCTCCCCCACCACCTTCAACTCCACCTTGCCGGGCACCTTCAACTCCACCTCCTCGTCCAACGGCACCTGCAGCAACTCCTACCTCAATGTGAGTGACGGTGCAAGGCCTCTGCAAGGAGGGGGGAGGGGGGGGGTCCCCTTATCCAGGCATTAGGATCGGACAGGGGGGGGGTCCCCTTATCCAGGCATTAGGATCAGGCAGGGGGGGGTCCCCTTATCCAGGCATTATGATTGGACAGGGGGGGGTCCCCTTATCCAGGCATTAGGATCAGGCACGGGGGGGGTCCCCTTATCCAGGCATTATGATTGGACAGGGGGGGGGGTCCCCTTATCCAGGCATTAGGATCAGGCAGGGGGGGTCTCCTTATCCAGGCATTAGGATCGGACAGGGTGGGGGTCCCCTTATACAGGCATTAGGATCGGGCAGGGGGGTTCCCCTTATCCAGGCATTAGGATAGGGCAGGGGGGGGTCCCCTTATCCAGGCATTAGGATAGGGCAGGGGCGGGAGGGGGTGTCTGGTAAACCTTTCAAAACAGACGAAGAGCCATTGGGGGTTTGTGTTGTTGTTGTTGTGTCTTTGACTGAAATAGTTCTGGGAGAGCCGCATCACGCAGAGCAAGAGCTACTTGTACACAATCGTAGCAGATATACAGGGCAGATGGACACTGCACATGCCGACTTAAATAAACAAACATAGGTGATGGTATACACTTGCATCTATTTAGGTTTTTTCTCTTCCCTCCCCAATTAGTTATTCTTTAACAGGAACAGTTTTAGCCGTTGTACATTTTTGTCGTCACCAAGACATTCCACAGTGACCCCCCTCACAATCCCTGCCATATTTAATCAATCAATTTTCTGAACCGGTCCGGGGCCTCCCCCTAGGTTGACTCAGCCTCAAATGAGTACCCGGTGTGCAGTGTATAAGCATCGGGCCGGGGTGTGGTGCTGGCCACCCACCCACCTCGTGCGCTGTGCCGGCCTTCACAGGTGCTACTCGCTAACAGCACTTGCCCCAACAGTCCGTTGCAGGCTATATGGGGGGATCTTTATCTTTGTGCTCGCGTGTCTGTAGGGTTGCTACGATCAGCTGAAGTACCTCTTTGAGAAGAACGCCTACATCATTGGAGGCATCGCTGCAGGCACCTGCGGACTCGAGGTAAGAGGAGGTCACCGGGTCACTAGCTGGCTCCCCAAGTCACTGGGTCACCTGGTAACTGTGTCACCAGTTCACAGGGAGACTGGGTCGATGGGTAACTGGGTAACTGGGGCACCGAGTCACTGGGTAACTTGGTAACTTGGTCACTTGGTGACCAGGGCACCCGAGTCACTGGGTCACCGGGTAACTGGGTCACCAGTTCACTGGGAGACTGGGTCAATGGGTAACTGGGGCACCGGGTCACTTGGTAACTTGGTAACTTGATCACTAGGTGCCCAGGGCATCCGAGTCACTGGGTCATCTCCTGTTCAACAGCCCTGCAGGGCCAGTGGTGGAAAATCCACATTCCTATGGCAGGGGTTGGGGGTTGTGGGGCAATGGGGTGTCGAGTCTCTGCTAACTTTATGGATTTCGGGAGGACGCAGTGTTGAGTCTATGGGCAGTGTTGAGTCTATGGGGCAGTGTTGAGTCTATGGGGCAGTGTTGAGTCTATGGGGCAGTGTTGAGTCTATGGGCAGTGTTGGGTCTATGGTGCAGTGTTGAGTCTAGGGGCAGTGTTGAGTCTATGGTGCAGTGCTGAGTCTATGGTGCAATGTTGAGTCTATGGTGCCGTGCTGAGTCTATGGTGCAGTGTTGAGTCTATGGTGCAGTGTTGAGTCTATGGGCAGTGTTGAGTCTATGGGCAGTGTTGAGTCTATGGTGCAGTGCTGAGTCTATGGGCAGTGTTGAGTCTACGGGCAGTGTTGAGTCTATGGTGCAGTGTTGAATCTATGGGCAGTGTTGAGTCTATGGTGCAGTGCTGAGTCTATGGTGCAGTGTTGAGTCTATGGTGCAGTGTTGAGTCTATGGTGCAGTGTTGAGTCTATGGGCAGTGTTGAGTCTATGGTGCAGTGTTGAGTCTAGGGGCAGTGCTGAGTCTATGGTGCAGTGCTGAGTCTATGGTGCAGTGCTGAGTCTAGGGGCAGTGCTGAGTCTATGGGCAGTGTTGAGTCTATGGGCAGTGTTGAGTCTATGGGCAGTATTGAGTCTATGGTGCAGTGTTGAGTGTATGGGCAGTGTTGAGTCTATGGTGCAGTGTTGAGTCTATGGTGCAGTGTTGAGTCTATGGGGCAGTGTTGAGTATATGGTGCAGTGTTGAGTCTATGGTGCAGTGTTAAGTCTATGGTGCAGTGCTGAGTCTTTGGGCAGTGTTGAGTCGATGGTGCAGTGCTGAGTCTATGGGCAGTGTTGCTGAATCTGCAGGGGAAGTTGTTTGTAATGGAGGGATGCGAGGATGGAGAAGGACCGAAGACCGAGAAAGAGACAGAGAGAGAGAAGATTGGGAACGAGGAGAACAAGAGAATGGACATGGAAGGAGATGGAGAGAGAAATGTGATAATGATTTAGTATGAAACTAATTCGTTGCTATTCCTGTGTGTCTGTGTGTGGTTGTCTTTTCCCACAGTTGGCTGCCATGATTGTATCGCTTATTCTGTACTGTAAAGTGGACAAGGATTGATCACCGCACACCGCACCACACCACACATCCACACTGCATCACACCACACACCCACACTGCATCACACCACACACCGCACACCGCACCACACCACACACCCACACTACACCACACACCCACACTGCATCACACCACACACCGCACACCGCACCACACCACACACCCACACTACACCACACCTCACCACACACCCACCTCACCACACACACACCTCACCACACACACACCCCTCACCACACACACACCTCACCACACACACACACCTCACCACACACACACCTGACCATACACACCCCTCACCATACACACACCTCACCACCACACACACACCTCACCATACACACACCACCACACACACACCTCACCATACACACACCTCACCACCACACACACCTCACCACCGTCAACACCGCCAGTTTGAAGGATGTTTCAATTCCCCACCACTCCCCAACCTCTGCCATTGGTGGGAAGTTCCCAGAAGGCCATTGCGTTGACTCTGTACGGAACGTGTGTGCACACGTGACACACGCAGTGTACACTGCGTGACACACGCAGTGTACACAAGCGACACACGCAGTGTACACAAGCGACACACGCAGTGTACACAAGCGCCACACGCAGTGTCCACAAGCGACACACGCAGTGTACACAAGCGACACACGCAGTGTACACAAGCGCCACACGCAGTGTCCACAAGCGACACACGCAGTGTACACAAGCGACACACGCAGTGTACACAAGCGACACACGCAGTGTACACAAGCGACACACGCAGTGTACACAAGCGACACACGCAGTGCACACAGTGCTACAGTACACACAGTGCTACAGTACACACAGTGCTACAGTACACACAGTACATACAAGTACACACAGTGCTACAGTACACACAGTACATACAAGTACACACGCTACAAAAAATAGAATACACTACCTTTCTACAACTAAGGGGCCGCCCATAAATGACGTCATGCACCTAAGGGGGGGGGGGGGGTCAGACATTTGTGACGATGAGGGGAGGGTTTGAGAAATGTGACGTCACATCAAAAAGCGCAACTTTAAATAAATATAGACAACACGTTCTATGTAATTAAATAGACTTTTTAATAAATGTTTCTCCTACAACATTAGAGTGCAGCGGCACATTAAATACGCACTACAATGACAATAGTTTAAAGCGATTTGAAGCATGTTTTATTTTGGGGGGGGTGGGTGGGGCAGAGCTTTGTGACGTCATTTCAGGGGGGGGGGTCTGACTTTTTGTGACGTCGCATGACGTCCAAAATCGCGTGACGTCATTTATGGACGGCCCCTAAAGTACAGATCGTACCGCGGTGCACAGGGGACGAGAAACGGGACACCACCTCACTCGTCATTCCTAGCAGGCGGCGTGTACGACAACTACAGTGTCACAGCACGCACGCAGTACAGCACGAACTGTACCGCGGTGAACATTGCGCCACGGTATACAGTGCTACGGTACTACAGTGCTACAGTACTACAGTGCGCACTGTGCTACAGTAGCGCACTGTACCACAGTAGCGCACTGTACCCCCCAGCGCGCACTGTACTACTGTACCACAGCGCTCTGTACTAGTGGGCATTGCCGGACAGTGAAAAGAAACAACGTACCCATAGTACGTACAGTGCGCACTGTGCTACAGTACGTACAGTGCGCACTGCTACAGTACGTACAGTGCGCGCTGTGCTACAGTGCGCACCCCGTGGTGAGATTGCGCGCCAACAACTAAAACCTCAGCGCACCCGACAAGTCGGTGTTGTTTATATATGCTACAACAACAACAATACGTGCGTGTAACTTTATATATTTTAGTTGTCTCTCATCTCTTTAGACAACTCCCGCGTTTTAATGAAATTATATTTTTGCCGTCAAAAATTTTTTTGTTAGGGTTTGCACATCGCACCTCCGATTTATTAAAAAAAAAAACTTCTTGCCAAGGTCAAATACAAATTAGCCAAAGGGGGGCTTCGGTTGATGGACCCCCAGTGCCCACCCTGCCACCTTGGGGGGAGGTGGAGGGAAAATCCTGACGATAGTTTGCATATTTATATATACAGTATATTCCATACCTGTTAACTCCCTATCGCTGCCCTACCTTATTAGAGACTAATTCAGAATTTATTTAGTCACCCCGTGGCCTGATGAATCTCAACCATGCATGCTATACACTACACTACTATACACTACACTATACACTACTATACACTACACATACACTACGCTATACACTACACTGTTATACACTACTATACACTACACTACTATACACTACTATACACCACTACTATACACCACTACTATACACCACACTATACACTACACCACTATACACTACATTATACACTACACTATACACTACTATACTTTACACTATACACTACACTTCTACACACCTGTCAACCCCTTATCACTGCCCTACCTTATTGCAGACCAATTGGGACCTTATTGGTCACCCGGTGCCCCTAATCCTACAAAGTCTCATCACGCCGGAGAAGCACAGACAGACGATTTGTAATCGCCGTACGGACCTGAAAACTCAGTATCCCCTGGACGAGAGATACGGGGTTAAACCGTGTGGATTTGACGTGGTAATGCAAATACTTTAAAACAAATGTAACCCCCCCCCCCCCCCCATCATACACTCCATCTCGAGTCACTTTAACCCAGGGGGGTCTGGTTGATGGACCCCCCCCCCAGGGTCCAGGACTCCCATCTCGACCCCTTTGGGGTGTGCCAGGGTTTTTTTTTTTTGCCGTGGATTTTAACACGTAGCAGCAGTAGCAGCAGGAGGCTTTCGCCACCAATATCCATGAGAGTTTTTTTTATTTTTTAGGGGGGCACGCGGTGGGGGGGGGGGGGGGTGGCGGGGGGGGTTAGTTCGCGTAAAATATAAATGTGTTGTGTCGTTAAGCCCGCCACCAGCCGACACAGCCAATTGGTAAGGGAGTTTGTGTCACCTAAAAACAGAACGCGGCCCAAATTCGTTAACTGCTACAGCAACTAGAGCGGTTGTGTGTTGGAGAGTTAAAAGCCACGACGACATTGAGAATTTGGGGGGGGGACACAGCCCCCTCTGCCCCTCCCCCTCTGCCCCCCCTCCACCTTTGGACCCTCTCAGCCCCCCCTCACCCGAGTCGGGAGCTGTGACCTTAAGCGACCCCTCCCCCCCCTCCTCCCCCCTCTAAAAGAAGGGGGGGGGGGAGGTGGGGGGTTGGAGTCTCTCAACGAGCTCCACCGCCCCTCGTGGTCGTCCGTCTCATCCAAAGACAAAGCTCCCCCACCGTGTAGCCTCTAACAGACTGTCGGGGCAAGTGCTGTTAGCGAGTAGCAGCAGCGCCTATGAAGGAGACAAAGACAAAGATCCCCCGTGTAGCCTCTAGCAGACTGTTGGGGCAAGTGCTGTTAGCGAGTAGCAGCAGCGCCTATGAAGGAGATAAAGACAAAGATCCCCCGTGTAGCCTCTAACAGACTATTGGGGCAAGTGCTGTTAGCGAGTAACAGCAGCGCCTATGAAGGAGATAAAGACAAAGATCCCCCGTGTAGCCTCTAACAGACTATTGGGGCAAGTGCTGTTAGCGAGTAGCAGCAGCGCCTATGAAGGAGACAAAGACAAAGATCCCCCGTGTAGCCTCTAGCAGACTGTTGGGGGCAAGTGCTGTTAGCGAGTAGCAGCAGCGCCTATGAAGGAGATAAAGACAAAGATCCCCCGTGTAGCCTCTAGCAGACTGTCGGGGCAAGTGCTGTTAGCGAGTAGCAGCAGCGCCTATGAAGGAGACAAAGACAAAGGTCCCCCGTGTAGCCTCTCACAGACTGTCGGGGCAAGTGCTGTTAGCGAGTAGCAGCAGCAGCGCCTATGAAGGAGATAAAGATAAAGATCCCCCGTGTAGCCTCTAGCAGACTGATGGGGCAAGTGCTGTTAGCGAGTAGCAGCAGCGCCTATGAAGGAGACAAAGACAAATATCCCCCGTGTAGCCTCTAACAGACTGACGGGGCAAGTGCTGTTCGCAAGCTCCTATGAAGGCCGGCACCGTGGCACACGAAGGGGGTGGGTGGCCAGCACCACGCCCGGCCGCCTTTGTCTCCGTCGTGGCGATGTTTACTACGCACACCGCTATACCAGGTTTCTCATTTGCGGCTGAGTCGACCTAGAGGAGGCCCAGGGACCGGTTCAGCATAATCATCACGGGTGTTGGTGGCCGTGAGGCGGGTATCGACCCGTACACACACGGCGCGCGCTCGCACACACACTCGCCAAACCACGAGTGCCGAGTCGAACGTAAAGCGGCCAGCAACAACCAGCACTCATTGGTCGTCACAGACTGGAGGCGATGTTCGGAGGACCGGGTCCATGTCTGCCACGGGCACTCGCCGGTTTTTTTCTTATTTTTTAAACTTGGTGGTGGTGGTGGATTAAGATGCAATTGTTGTTTTCATCGATTATTTTTTTATTTTATTTCTTAGAAGAGCCAATATTTTACTGTCGAATAAAAGGGGAAACAACATGTATCGATGGTGATGATAAAGTAGATGATGATGACGGTGGTGATGATGCTTTTAATCCTAATTGTTTGGCAAGGATCGTACTCTACGGATGAGTAAGACGAACCTGGCCATGTCGATGCAAGGTGTAAAAAAAAAAAATCTCCTAACAAAGGCAAAGATGCCCCCCTCTTCCGTGTAGCCTCACCAGACTGCTGGGGGCAAGTGCCGTCAGTGAGCAAAGCAGCACCTACGAACGCCGGCACGGGACACCACGCCCGGCCGCCTTTGTCTCTCCCCCACCAGTGCTGATGGGATTTTTTTTACGGCGCATGCCTGCCAAGTGCCAACCCCTCATCAGTGCCCAACCTTACTACAGACCAACTCAGACATTGCTGGTCACCCCGTGCCCCTTATAAATCTCAACGTTCATCCTATACACTACACTACTATACACTACACTACTATACACTACACTACTATACACTCCACTACTATACACTACACTACTATACACTACACCACTATACACTACACCACTATACACTACACCACTATACACTACACCACTATACACTACACCACTATACACTACACTACTATA